AAAGTATCAATTTTGAATTGATGAGAAAATCTTGTTTGCATCAGAAGTTTGTCTCAAAAGAGTGAACAAAATGGTTATAAGGTTTAAAAGAGACTAACCTCGATTTTGTTCGGAAAGGTGGCCCTCGTGCAGCGCAGAACGCGATCGAGTTCAAGTGACGGTCACGGTTTGTTGAGCAGGCCACAGGTGACGAGAAGCTCGCCAAGATTTATTATGGACGATGCTCGTAAAGCGGTTCAGTCAGAAAGCAAAGAGGAAAGAGCAATTTTTCACCGACAAAACGAGTGATTGTCGTCGCCCATAAACGAACTCTAATTAAGATAATTGCGACTAAGGACGCGTATAAAGCACGCAGCGCGGCGTGGCGGTAGGGAACGAGCACTAAAATCTAACGTACTATATATTTGGATCCTGTGAAAATACCATGGAGATTCGATAACTCTATATATACGACAAAAAAGATAAATTTATTTTGTTGCTATTTCTCTAAAAATGAAAATTGTTGTATACTATCTATTACAGTTTTCTACATTACTTTTATAGTTTATTCCTCTTTCTTTATTATAATCTTGTACAATCCTATATGTTGCTTCTAATAATTATTTCCGGTGTGTACGATATGTACAAGTATTTATTGTTAGTTTCATTGTAGTAACCCTGTTATACCAATTCAGATGTGGGACGCAAATTAACAATCACGAAACTAACATTTTTAGTAATCTTTTAATTCCATCTTCTTTTTCGATTTTTATCTTTTATCTTATTTTTATCTTATCTTGTTTGACTGTATATATTTTTCTTCTCGAATACTTTCAGTATACATATATCTATTGTTAGTTTAGCTATAGTAAAGATTAGATGCCAATTGAAATGTAGAGTGAAAACTAAAAATCACGAAATTTTAGAGACTTCTATCTACAATTCACGAATGAAATACACATGTACAGTTTCATAATCTAAAAACATGTTCTGTACGAAAATTATTTATTTGCAGATTACAAAATAAATAACAAAGATTCAATTAGCAATGATTGTCAGCTTCAAATGCTACATGGAAAAATACAACGTTTACACATTTTTCTCGATCTTAAAATCGTTATAATAAATAAATGACCATCTCCCTAGAAACGTCGACTATTCGCATGAGGTATTCGATACTATTCCTAAATATTGTTTCTAATGCCTTGACCGAGTTTAGCGCAGCTACATAATGTAGGGTGATATTACTGATATTATTCAATGGACAGTCTGCAGAGGTCACTTTTCGCTCGTGCGATAAGATAACAAATCTCCAATTAAGAATATAAGTTTATTCAAATGAATTTCAATCAACTTGCAGTAATTACAGATTTGATCTAGATATTTAATTTCATTTTCGTTCCATTCTTTTTTGTCTTTTCTATTCCCTTTTCATTTTTATCTAGTTAAATGAGCACACGTGCGACTTCGTTGTATGAACGGTTAGGTCACGAGCATCGAAATGTTAAAACACTGCCTCCTGCCATATCGTGTTGCGATGTGTCTGCACAGAAGCTCGGATTACATCACGTTGCACATTTGGACCAGCGACCAGTTGCAACGAAAACGAGACCGTAACGCGATGACCACAACGTGAACAAACGTAATTTGCGGGAACACGAGCGTCTAAAAAAAAACGATCACTTCGAAATTGTTCCTGATCTAATTTTCTTTGAAGTGTCGATTATCTTTACTGAAAGAAAGAAATATGTATATATATACATATAGCATAATATAATATATACATATAATTTTTATACAAACAAATACAACATTTTCTTTATAGAAGAGTAGTAAGTGAATGTGAAATAAAAGAGTTTCATTTGAAGCTTAAAATTATAACTTTTAACAAGTTAGCCCTGTGTAACATATATAAATGACTAGAGATAGAAAACTGAGCAAGTGTTTATGTTAGAATATCGTTAGTGAATAACAATAAAGAACGAGTCGGAGAATGCGCGTGACGATTTAGCATGCATAGTATCATATTATGGTGATTTTGCTGCACGTGGCAAAAATGTGTATTATACATGCGAAGTCTTTGAAAGTGCAATGTAATTACAAATGTAAAACATGTAAAATTCAAACTCCAGTCATATTGATCGAGAATTATTTTAGAATTGAATTATTATTTAAAAAATTAAATTAAATTATTATTGTTTTTTATTTCTAAATTTTATTTTTAAATACAGTGTTATTATTTTATTTCTAAATTTTGTTTTTCAAATCTTTTTCATTTTTTTTAGCATTTATTAAACTTACAACTCAACATTTCTACAGTAGTTTTGTAGAGTGGTCATTTGTTACGTTGTTAGAAATCAAGCCAAGTATAGCCTGCGGATAATATTTCATATCTAATTGTCAATCTCTGTGCTATATCGTTTTCTAAACAATTCGAAGAAACAGAATGTGAGACGTCCTGCGAATCGTTGAACGATTTTGACCTGGGTCTCATTAGAGACCTCCACCATTCCGGCTATGGGTACTCTGGCAACTGAAAAGTTAGCAATATGGTCGTGCAGGTCAACGGAGAGATAAAACCCGAAGGGAAACATCCTTCGAACACATAAACCGTTGGTGGGCCATTTTAAACACCAAACTTTCATGGCTATTGAGGATGCAGGCACCAGGTTTCAGCAGCTTCTGTGTTATGTGAGTGCATATTTTCTACATTCAATTACTGAAAATTCTCAATGCGAGAATTGATTGTAAATATTAACAAATAAAAAAAAAAAATATTTTCTACATCCAGAAGGACGTTTATGGGCTCTATATTTGGCTCTAAAGCAGAATTGGGCATTGGGCATTATTGAAGTTTTTTTTTTTATTTATTTATTTACATTTTACAATTTGTCCAGTAGGACATTTGGTAAAATATTATAGCTTAGCGATATAGTATTATAACATGTGGATGGCTACCCCCAGTGGGATACCATCTTCGAATTTGATTGATTTATTTCTTTAATCATCTCAGATAATACGTGTTTGTTAGGTTATGTCTTTTGTGAGGTCCTTGAAGTAGTCTTTTTTTCTTGTAGAATCATTAACGAAAACGAAAGTTTAAAGAATAACAAAACTTTAATTTTACTTCAATAAATTTTATTAAACTCTACCCTTACAAAACTATTCTAAAGATTCTCCCTTTATAGATTTTGTATAGAAGTAATAATTACACTTTTCCTAACAAATAGGTATATTAAGACAAGTAAATAAATAAATAAAGATAGATCAATTCTCTGTACATTTTTCTAATTTCTAGATGGTTTTCTTTTCATTCGTCTAATACTCTTTCAATATTTCGTTTAAGTAATTTTTTCATTTAATAGAATACTCGCATTAAAATAACCCTACTGCAATTTAATCATATAGAGAGAAACTAAACGAATCAAACAATGAGGTCGAATATGTGAAACAACGTAAACGTACGATAACTAAGGAAATTCTCATAGATAAAGTATGTATTCGTTATCAGTTAGGAAAATTTTACGCCTATCTTTTGTTAAAAATAAACTCGTTTTGTAATTGTGAGAGCAAGCAACGTGTTTAATTTATATATATGCTGTTGAATTACGTTTCTAATAATTCATAACTTGGTCCATCACGAGTTTGTGGTTAGTATTTGCGTTCGATGTGCAGAAAATAAACAAGTTAGAATCAAGAATGTAGCAAGAATAAAAAAGTTAAGGATATGAAGGAAAAGAGTAATCCGTTCCCCAAGAGTAATCTGAGTCTTCGAATTTTTTATTGAATATATGCAGATTCACAGATCAGTGGCGTCAAAAAATATCGTTCTAATTAGAAGTTCTTCAAACATTTTTAAATATTAAGTTTAAATATTAGACTTTTTTAAATTAAAAATAATATGTTTGGGATACTTGGAAATATTTCTGAGAATAAAACAACGCTTAAATCAGCTTCTCATTTTAGATTTTAAATTTCCACAATAATTAAGATGACATATTTGTGACTCTTCGGGTTTCATTTAGTATTTCACTAATAGAGATTCAACACAGGTAGTATTATTAGTACATTGTACTTTGTTCCGATATTTTATGAGCATTCTGAAACAAGTGGTGTTCAACCCACTCATTACAGAACAACTGGAATCCAGAATCGTCACTAAACGTAATAAGATTGAAACTTAAAAAATCACAAATATGTCAACTTCCAATTTGTTATGGCTACGGATAAAATAAATGACTATTGTTTGTCACAGAAGCAATGTTCTTGATCGAAAAAGTAACAGAATAAAACCTCTTCCTCAAAAGAAAAGGAAAAGGTGTATTATTTACGCCATAAATAATTTATATTAAAAACTAAAATAAAACCTCTGCCTCACCAAAGCAACCATACTGTTCTATCTCTAGTTTCGTAGATACACGATCAGGTTCACTCTAAGAATTATCGACTGTTATCTCTCTTCCGTTCTCTCGGTTTTTTCGAAACACACACATACATACCTGTGAATTCTTGTGTCTCGTCGAGTGATGTTTTCAAACAAGTATAGTTCATCGAAGATTTTGCGCTGATAGTCCATCAGTTTCGAATAAATAACCTTAACAAATAAGTAGTATAAATAATATGTATCCATGGGATATTCTATTTGAAGTGAACTACGCAATTATCTCCTAAACTATTTGTTATAGAAAAAAGTGTTTTAAGTAAAACTTACTTTGCTTCAAGAAGAACATCTTATGATAACTATCAGATTTGTCAAGGTGGAGACGTTTTCGAGATCTCAAGGTGACCTTTGCTTTTTTAAATGGAACTATATGTTTTCATTTAGTCAGTTTTGTAGTTCTGTTCGAAAGGAATTTATTGATCTAAATATGCTAGTGTTTCAAGGTCATTCAAGATCATATACTGTCGTTCAAAATTTACCTTTGTTGAACATCCCCACACATTGCTCTTCACAATATTTCGTTGATACGGTTGTAAACATGATTCGAAGTTACACTAACAATTTGGATTATAGATACTTTTGTTTACAAGTAGAAGTTTCACAAGTTAGAAAAATTTATCAAATGCTCTTTTCTGCAACAAATAGTTTAGGAGATAACTGCGTGGTTCGCTTCAAATGGCACACCCTCTTTCTCTTTTTTATAATTTTATTATAAATATTTTCTTTTTTGTACATTACATAAAAACACAGTAATAGCATACGTATACACCGTACAAAATGATACTTTCAGCCGATAGTGGATTATTTTTTATTTAAATTTTTGAAAAGTTAGAAATTACATGCGAATTTTCGATTACATGTAAGGTTAATCCCAAAGTAGAAATCTTAAATTCCCGCGTTGTTCTGAAGAATCTGTAGTATATCTTTAAAAAAAATTCCATTATCAACTCACTACAAGCCAAGTGATTTATCAAGATTTAATTAATAAACTCCACCGATAAATGACGGCGTATGTATGAAAATATTTACACAATATCTGATTACCATTTGCTACTGATACCTTTGTTTTTATGACATCGAATGGAACACCGTTGATACGTGCTTACAATCAGTGTTCGGTCTGCTCGTGCTGAATATCAGTATCTCATTTACGTTCGTTCTTTCTCCTTTTGTCATTTGAATTTGAATTCTTTTCTTATTCGAACATCTTGATAAGTATTCAGATAATGTCGAATTGCAAAATGTTTTGTGAGCAGTATTTTTCCGTAAGTAAAACTTTCGTCGAACAGTTTCAAGTTCTAAGTTTATTTTTTCTCTTGGAGTTACAAAAACTTTGTCGTCGTTTTTCAGAGTTACCTACTCTTACTTTGCCCAACGTAAAATATTCCTTACCATGGAACAGTTTTAGTCTAAGGTTTGAGATGCAGCGGTAGGTTTATGGTAACCGGAACTCCTGTAGTTCGTCTCAGGGAGACTTTCAAAATTCCATGAACATATGTGTAACATGTGTCACCGTTTTTTTTTTATATAAGTGAATGTGTGTACCAGTTCAATGTAACATACGTCAAATAGAAAGTCACAAAAGTGTACTTACAATACATCAGTTATATTTCAAATATTTTATCAGGATATACTTCAACAAAATTTTAATTTAAAACAATTTTAATTCTATGGAAATAAAATAAAGATTCATTGATTTTTTGTATTAGATAATCAATATTTGATAGCTGTTTAATTTTTATCAAATGGTAATGGGTTTTTACTTCTTACTAATACAAAAATAGAATGTAGGTTTAGCATGAATTAAGGGAGGAAATTATTTTTAGTAATCGTTCAAGTTCATGATCAGTGTTTGCTCATAGAGTTATACATTACATTATACGTATATATTACACGTATAAAAATATGCTGTATTCTGTTTAATAAGATAAATAGAATAAAATGAAATAAATTTATTTGTCCTCAATTTTTTTTCAGATTTAAATTATAAAAAAACATAAACAATTATGTATTTATTTTCAAATTAATAGTCTTGTAATATAAAATATCAAGTACAAATTTATATAAATAGTATAAAAATCCATATTATCAGAAGAAAAATAAAATATAAAATAAGAATGATGGAAGAAATTTTTACGCTTACGCGCTCGTAAAACCGGTCGTCCTTTTTACGGCTAATATTTCAGCGTTCAGCATCCTAAATAAATGACAACGCAGCATACAGGAGGCATGCTGGTATGTACATATTTCCGTTTCTTAGGGTAAAATGCAGTCTTTTCAGCGACCGTGCATCTGGTCACGTACACATTTGCAGCGAACACCCTTCGCAAAACGACAGAATAAAAGAGTGAAACAAGGAAAAGAAAAGAACCTAGCGAACAGCACAAAATTGCTGATATTGATTGCATTATTTGTACAGCGTTGTTCGCGTCCTGTGGAGTTTCACACGCGAATTTATCCTTATAATTGAGTCTGAACAAACGTGAAACATACGGAACGTATAGTGTAATTTATAAAGCATGTTGAGAAAGGAATTAAATTATTATTACTTATCACTGCATTATATTATTAACATCTCATAACATGATGTGTTGAATTATAATATTTTTCTCTTATAAGTAAATACAATTTAGATTATAAAGTTAAATAATATATCTTTTTCTAATTTGTAGCTTTTAGATTATTATTTCTATATTTTGAACTTTTTCAATTAATATTTATACTAATTGATTTTTATGCAATAGTTATTAATGTAAATATTATTAACATAATAAAGAAATCAATCTTTACTCTATTAAATGTAACAATCAAATCTCATTCATCTTTTCTTATTTATTTTAATGTTATAATGTTTATATAGATTTTGCTGTTTTACTTTTAATTTAGAAAGCGACAGAATCTACCATCAGTTATAATTTGTAAATATTTTCTAATGCCACTAATAATAGTAACATAAAAATTACATAATTAGTATTACTTTCGAATATTTTACTATCAAATAAATATTACTTTGAAGTACTGAACGAGTATATTTATTTATTTGATAAACTTTATTACTTTAAAGTATTGAACGAATATATTTAAAGTTTTCTTTTTTGCTGTGTTTACAAATATTATACGTATCATACAATAAATGTGGTTCACCTTGGCCCACTTATACCTTAAAGCAAGGATGCATATATGTAATGAAAAGGATACAAAAAGAAAATATCTACGGACGTAAAATTCTCTTCGACTTTCTCCTCCCAAGTATTCATTAATTTTTCATATATCATAGTCTTAAGAACGACGTTATTGCCATTCAGAGCGCAAACACCGCTTATGCAAATCCTACGTACGATTCTCTTGTCAACCTCAGTGTTCAATTGAATTTAACGATCGAGTTAAACCGATTTACTTTCATTATGATATTCGAAGCGAACGAAAGACTGACCAGAAGAGAAAAGAAGGAGAACCGAGCAAGCGAATAACGGTATGTAGTGGGTAATGGTAGCCCCAAGAAGCTTTAAATTATCGCAATTCAACTTCTTAGTTTGAATACTGAGAGGAAGGAACTGGAAATTTGTCTGACTTTGAATGGAATATAAAAACTTTATTTTTTCTTATTTTCGAAAACTAGAGATACAAAAATTTGTGAAACAATTTTTACTGTTGAGATATTTAAATTTGTTTTTCTTATTTTAAATTTTTTGGAAAGTATACTTTCTTGTGTAAGTATTATACAGAATTGACTTGTTAAAAATTGCAGGTTATTATTTCGTCTGAAGGTCAAAATAAAAGTATTTCTAACTATAAATTTCAATCACTTTCCTTTAGATTATATGTTTAACTTTTGGTACAAATATCTCATAAATATAAATATAAAACACATATATAAAAATTAAAAACACTACTACATCTCCAATTCTTAATCTGAAAATTTCGTAAAAGTTTACAAAAGTTACTTTAGAAAGTGATAAATTTAATCAAATCTAATCGTATTAAATATATTCATTATATCTAGCTAATTCTATAAAGATTAAAATAATACCCCTTATTTATGAAATAATAAGTGCGCCTTTCTGTATATTCAAAATTTTGCCCCCTCGCGCGCTTGTAAACAATCGAATCAATAAAGAAAAAACAAAATGAAATCAACGTAACAATCGTTGTACTGAAACCATTCTACAACTCACATTTCTCGATTGAAGTATACATTCAAGGTAAAGTTTTTCATAGAAAAAAAGTTGTTTAAAAAAACAGTGCAAAGAATCGACTGTACAACGGTAGCCATGAACGCAGGAGCATGCACTATGGAATCAGGGTATATAGTGTATCATGGTATAAAGGGGGGAGTTTGAAGCAGCCGTCGGTCCCCCACCGTTTCGATCCCCACCTCCTGGGCCCTCTCCT